GCTCAGCATATTTTCATTAATAATATAAAAACTAGTTTATGCGTACCATTGGCTTTCAAAGTCGTTTATAAAGCTGCCACTCCGGATAGAGGAATTTATATGGTAGCATAATTTTGTTCGCTTACCTGAACTACTGTGAAGATATTTACTCTGTAGAATAGTGTACACCGATAGGTTCGGTTTGTAGCTCCTACATGAAAGAGATCGTCGCCAGGAATAGGCCGAATTCTTTTTTTCCTTAAAGGTCTCCACCTCTCTCATGGGATTGCTGTTCACAGTTAACTATGATCATCCAGTTTTCTGGTGTTCTGGTGTTCTGATGACCACCTGTAGGTCAGAAACGGTTCTATTCGGTAACAGACTCATTTTTTTCCTTAAAGGTCTCCACCTCTCTCATGGGATCTCTCATGGGATTTAACTATGATCATCCATTTTTCTAAATGAAACGAAATTGATGATCTGGTGTTCTGATGACCACCTGTAGGTCAGAAACGGTTCTATTCGGTAACAGACTCAGAAACGCTGATAAACGCTGTAAATTACCGAACCCAGTAATTTTTACGCAGGCTTGGACACCAGCCAGATAGAACGATAGACGGATGATCAGACACATGATACAAATACCGCATTAGGAAATGCGCCAGAATAGCCACTTAGCGTACACAGAACTACCTAAGATCAACAGGACCAGAACTCTCAGTAGCTGGAAGGTACAGGTGAACAAAGATGAAAATTCACCTCTAAAAAGAGCAACACTCATCTTGAAGCCAAAATTTCCAGGTGGACTGGAAGTCAGAAGGAGAATTTAAATCAGAGGGAAGCTTAGACAAAGGATACCTCAACCTGCCACCTTATGAAGATAGGAGAAAGCGTTCTAAACTTAACTATAAATATCCAACAAACCTGGAGTATTTAGCAAGCCTAGAAGCACTAGGGAAATCTACGGAACTCGACGGAACATTCAACAACAAATTTGTCAACCCGTTGTCTCAGCAATCTCGTGTAATGTCCTCTCGGGCAAAGAAAGAGCAGCAATGAATAAGGTGAATAAAGGCGGAGAACTTGTCATTCTAGCAGCGTAAAGGTGATTAGGGACAAAGCTGATGAAATCTATAAAACAAAACCCTTACTCGGCGACACAACTACATATCGACATCCAGAAAACAATCGAAATAGAACGCTTGCAGACAAAACCAGCAAGAACTTGAAGAAACTTCGAGGTATTCGCAGAATTACAAAGAAGGAACATTGAGTAATGAGGTCGCGGCCCAGAATTTGTTCTCATCTTGTTTACAAAACGGAATATTCATCTCCTTGAACGCGTCTTCCTGAACTTTCCTGAATATTCGTTGACTGTTACTCAAATGCAAGCAAACGCTGCACATGGAACCCAGCTTATTCCCTCGATTATGATGTTTTTAAGTAACTCAAAGGGCTGCACCAGGCCACCTCATGTTTCACTTGGCACGAAATTCAAGATATCGCGATACGTGTATAAACGCAACGCACTACTCAGAAGGCTGGTGCAGACACTTCGACATATTAAAAACGTCATGAACGAGAGGTTGAGCCGTTGAAACCAAATTGGTAGGCAAATGAGTGTATTTTGCTAACGACAAAAAATGCTTGTACCGTCGATAGACAGTCAGTCACAGTCAATCAGCTGTAACACCCTTTCGGTGCCTAGCTGCCATGCCACCCGAAGGAAGCACGAGGACTGGGATACTGCCAGGAAGTTGAGAGGCTGAGGTCGGATTCGAACAACGAACCTTCCGGTCAGTAAATTCGCGCTGCAACCGCTTGAACCATTTCGCCCCACCCCCTCTTAAAAGAATATGGAACGCTTCACGCTTTTGCTTGTCATCCTTGCGCAGGGGCCATGCTAATCTCTTTATCGTTCCAATTTTAGTGTATGTACCGCCGAAGCGAGTACATACCGTCGAAAGGAAAGGTTATTAATGTGTCTTTCGTGCAACCAACTAAACACCCTCTTATCAGCATTGATAGGTATTTGATCGTATGGCCAATTACATGTTTCAACCGCATCAGGTCAATCAGATGACGGTCTCAATGCGTCAGATACCCACGAAACCAGTAGATTCCGAAACTAGCCATAAATAGTCTAATTAACTCAGCCATAAGTAAACTGGCTCCATGAAGGCCATGTATTTAGAAGAAAGTGTCATCATTTCAGGTTTCCAGTGGGTAATGAAATTCTAAAGTGTGGCCAATAACTTCGAGACAGATGTAGCTGTTCTGCAGTCTCTCTTGATGCAATTTTTTCTCCGATTTTTTCCTTTGCACGTATGGATCTACCAGCGTGTTAACCAAGTCGCTATAACGCAGGTTTTACATGGTAGCTTCTTGTTGAACCACAGTTTCTTGCACCCATCGTAAATGTAAAAGCATGACTGACCAGAGCAGATTATTGGAAACCACGGATTGGTAAAAATTATTTGTTAATCCATCTCCCCTGAATTGCTGGTGCTGTTATAGCTAACAATGCTCACGTTCTCTCGTAAAGTCTGCTCATTAGAGACACGCGCGTCTGTCGAGCATTGTTGTCTTATTTGAGACTATTCGAACACAGGTTCTTTATTGATTAGTTTGTTCTGTTGACTGATATTTTTTCATTAGGCCGAGTTCATTTTGTTCACATCTTCAGTTCAAACTGGTATGCAGGAAACGTTGGTCACAAAACATGTGGTCTGTTCACTCCGAACCAAGTCGGACCGCAACAGAATTCGAACTGCCAGCTAGAGGACATAGTCCTTTATAGCAAGTATTCGGGCAAAGTGTTTGTAACAAGCTGTTCTAGGATGTATGTATTACAGCGATTTGCAACACAGCCCCAAGCTCAGACTTCAGCAGACACCTGTTTTCCAATGAATCCTGTGGGCTATTGTTGGAAAGCCTTGATCTGTTCACGGCTATCAGTCGCGTTAGCAAAAGCTAGCTGGCAAATGAAACTACAATGATAAAAACACATTGAGGAAATATCTACCCAAAAACCCTTTTTACGTGTACATTGCACCCCGCAGCTTCCACAGGCACCGGAAGATTTGGCAACTACTCGGCGCTTCTGGGCTGCCTCGATAACCACGTTTCGTTAGACGGTTTAAATTCCATCCCCCCACCAGACGACAGTTCCCCTCCAAAAGTAACCTCGCACTTAATGATTCACTCGGTCTGGATCAACCCGTTTTGTTGTTGGATTGATGGGCAGAGGGGGCAAGCCCTCATAAACGAACCGGAAAATTTCGACATTCATAGTCCTACCACCTACAGACAGAGATCACTTCCTTTTTTAAAAATTGCGTGGTGAGGACAGCAGCCATTTCTTCTCCGCGTGGGCGAGTCAGGGTGTTTGACAGATAAGAATACCCGTACTGGTCACCTTCATTGGGCATGTTGATGTTTGATAACCGCCTTTTGGGGCTCAAGGATGAGGTCTCAAGGCTTGTGTACAATATGGGGGATCGGGAGATTTGCCACAAACTGTGCGCTCAACAAGGGTTAGTTTAGTTGTTCTTATCAATCAAGATTGGCTAGTACCGTCATAAGTACATATTCCTTTTTTGATGGAGAATTGAAGACCGTTTATTTCAGTCAAATAGGAGCCACAGGATACTGTTGGTCTTCTAGATGCCAATCTGGATGGGAGATTCAGAGTATCGTCAAAAATCAGCGCAAACAAAGAGCTTTTTAAATGCTGTTTTCTGAAGGTTGACCATGTGCCTCTCGAACAGCACACTATTACATCCATCTTGTAGCAGCTGAGTAGATTATCCACCCATCGGATGTTACGCCAAGTCCAAGTTACCTGTACAGTTTTACTGCTCAAATTATGCCTTATCATGCTTGAGAATAAAGTACTATATCCAGTTTAAGACCGATCTCAATGTACATCCCTTATGTTAACCGCAGCTAGGATTTTCCGACGTTTCAAGGGTGTAAGAGCATGTCAACAATTTTCAAGGCGTTTCAGACACCCATCATACAGTTTGTCGGCATACATGAAGATGATTTGAAAGCTAATCTTTCTCTCTTATGGTTGGTTTGTGTTAGTCTAACAACATTTTACGGCGAAAACTATACGTATTACATAGCCGCAGTGTGTCTGCCTCGGTCAGCGAGAATTCACAAGCAAATGCGGCATTAGTTTTCCTGATAGTACTCCATGATTATTACTCACTGCGGGAGATTCATATCCCAAATGAGGCAATAATGCAGTACATAATACACTCTGTACAATATATATTATATATAATGAGGTTCATATAAAATTTGTAAGCTCAACACCTTTTCGAACAGGGACCCTTCAGAAGGAGCATGTCTGCTCAGGGTTCACAGAGGTCACTATTTGAAGAAACGCATTTTAAAATGTTCGTGTCTCAAGTATGAGCGACTAGAGTATTCAGGTAAGCGTCAACTGAGGGAAATTCTTATTCATACATCTGTACAATGCTCTTTGTGTCTCCATCCTTGTTAATATGGTTTCTTCTACCAAGGTACCTCCAAAAGGTTCTGGTAACTGAACAGTATGCTTAGACTGCTTTATTCAAATAAAAAGTCCAGTAATCATCACCACCTCCATTGGAGACAGCAACATCANTTTATTCAAAAAAAAGTCCAGTAATCAACAACAACCCCATTGGAGACAGCAACATCAGTGTTGACACTGATGATTCACTGCCAGACAACCACAAAAACCTCTAATTATATTCACAGCCTTAGAGTGAAAAGAAAAGAGTGGATGAGGGGGGAACCTGGTGCTGGTTACTAATAAAAATCCTAATTGAAATTTACGAAAACAACTGAGTCTTCCACACTCCACGTCATGAACATAAAAACACCTTTCAACAGGTATTCATTTGTACATTTTACTGTAATATACGGTTCTGACTTTTAATTTTTCAGCCTGAGTTGATTTGCCTACCTCACTTTAAGCGTACACGTGACTTGGAGTTCAAAAACAGTGGCATTGATCTGGACATCATGACTTTGATGTACTAACCTGCCATTCGTCTAGCGAAGTATTTTGTTACTACAATGGAGCATGATGGGAAGCCTACATATATGAAGCCTTATTCCTACATGGAGGAAGCCTTGTGTAAGGCAGCCGCTGACGGTAACCTTGCGGCTGCTTCTCGCATAATGCATGAACGAATTGATCCGAACTGTAAAGACGCTGTCGGTAGATCACCTATGCACTATGCTGCTCTTAACGGACACTTTGAAATCATCCGTCTTCTTTTATGTAACCGAGCTCTAGTAGATGTTTCAGACGCAAATAATGTCACACCCTTGCATCTGGCTGCTAGGAACGACCACCTACGTTGCGCTCAACTACTGTGCATGGCTGGTGCAGATATTTCACGCACGTGCGCTTCCGGATGTACACCACGTGATCTTGCTCCATTCGATTCTCAAACATGCTACTTTCTGGAAAGATGTGAGTTGGGTGAAAAACCGAAGCCCAAATCGGTATTTGCTAGACCTTCAAAATGGAGCATTCCGGTACACGCGATTCCACAGAAGCCACGGAGTTCAGGGAAGAGTACAAAGGGGAGGGGGAAAACTGAATCCATTAAAACTGGCCGTAATTTATAGTGAACTCGGCTTCTCAGTCAGTCTGTATGTGGAATATATGTTACAGCCCGTCCAGTGGGACGGTCATCCGTTTTGAAGAAGTAGTTCGCGTTGGGAGGTGCAGATTTCCTTGTCTCTCATCTCACTGAGATCTCCAAGTCCTGAATTTTCAAGGGCAGTTTCTTGGATTTCTTGAAGTTTTTCTTTGTCCGAAACGCGTAATCGTCTGCTTATCCAAATGGCGCTTTTTCTGCGGGTTGAGCGCCTGAAACAGAATGACAGAAAGAAGTAACATGTCGCATGTCGCATCCAAAGGTTGACTTAACACCAAGAGGAGGCCCAGCAACCATTATCTAATCAGTTGATTCTAGTGGCACAAATTTCCCTCGATCCGCTCCACATCAAATCATTTTACCTTTTGATTAACTAGCGTGTAGCACCCCATGATTGAAGGTAAAAGAAAATTGTTAACGTGGCTCAGTTCTGAAGTTATAAACATCAGTTTTACAGTCGATATCCGCAGTAGTCACGATCATTTTCATTATCATCTGCACTCTGACCATTATTTTTACTATTACTAATAATAATATTTCTACAAATATCATCCGTCCCAGTGCTGTAGCTGACAGCTGGACAAGGGTTGCAAAACAATGTTTCAAAGCCCTATTCATAATCAACAATATTTTAGGGAACCCCGCGATACTATTGCGCTTTTGGTTACATAAATCAAATTAGGTCGTTGGTAGATTAAGAATAACCTGTCTTTTGGTGCCATAGATTGGTTCAGGGCCACTGTCAAGCTGAACGAATATCCTCTTATGACGAATACGCATTAGGCATCCAGTGCAAAACCCTCCAGGTTCGCATTTCCTCAACCTGAATACGTGACTCATAGGTCGGCTTCCATCGTTGAACCTCACAAGATCCTGACCTCTTGAGGACAAAAGGGTGAAAAGAACTAGTGTTTGTTCACCTCAGGAGATGGTGGCAACGTGTATCGTAGCCCGAAAGAATATCAAGTACCGGATAACTATGTGATACCGCCTCTAACGCGTAGCTTTCATTCCTTCATTCTTTATTGTGAGCAAAGCTGCATCAGATGGAGGAATGACAATGCAGTGCAGTGAACTTGCTTTGAGAAAAACTCCTAGAAACATAGCAGTTGGGCACAACGCTATCTACATTTACATCCACAATCCTGACAAGAGTAATCCAAGACTATACAGCATGAGCGCAGAGACAAGCTTAGGGGTGAGCTCTAACCACTGAGTTTCCATTTTTGGCTTGCTCTGCATGTTCCCGAATTTCCAACTTCAAGATCTGTCGGATTCCCTTTTACTTTCTGAGAATGTAGACCACAATCCTTCCGATGTCCGGACGAAATCGACATCTAGCTCCTTGAGGATGCCTGTATTTATTTCTTTCGATTGCCACTCTGCTTGCTGAAATTGTCGTCTACCTTTTACTTTCTGGATGTTGCGTTCGTGGTCTGGGTTGCTTCGTGGTCCACCTTCCTCTTGTGTGCTTGGCCGATGGCGCACCCTCCATTTTTAGTAGTTTGTAGTCTTCATCCTGATTGATCCATACTCGCCTTGCGATCTATATTCACCAGCTTGGTTGTGGTTGATTTGCACGTCTTCTATCAGTGGGGCCCTCGTTATTTTTTGGTTTCGTCGGCGGACGTATTCGGTGATCCTTGGTGAGAGTTGTAAATTCCGATCCAATTTATTCGCCCTTTCAACTCAGATGTCTCAAGCTTTAGTTCTATTTGTTTTCTCCTTGATTTATTGGTTGGCTCGGGGATTGTCTTTGCCCTAAGCTATTGTTAAAGAGGGTCGATCTCCAACGTGGAGTATCACGACTTCATGAATTTGCAAATTTTCGTTCGGGCGGAAATCATTTGCACAACGGAAAATGAAATAGTCTATGTCATCTGAATATGACTTTTGTGGTCCGACAACATCTGTTTTCTCATCTATCGGTACAGCTAAAGACTTGGGTTTTCTGCGTATCGATGAAGCTGCCGGATCTTTTCAAAAAGTAAAAATTGACAGATGAATTACGACAATAAAATTTGGTGGGGAATAACATCTCAACATAACTACAGAAACTTCTTGAGTTCTGTCCATCAGGCAATGAAACAGGAACTGAATTTCTCGTTTCTTCCAATCAAGTAAACCACATTATAATGTCTCACTTATCGCGTGCCATTCAAAAATGTAAAAAATAAAACAATTTTACTTCCCACTTGTTCAAAATATAGGTGAATAAACAGCTTGCTTTCCTCGAGAAATACACTCATTTGCAAATCAATTTGGTTTTCGCGAGAGACTCAACTGAATCTCTCGTTTATGGTATTCTACAACTGAATGTGCTGCACAAAAGCCGCCTCGTGATTCAGTTGGTACCATATTCGAGATATCGCAGTACATTTTCATAAAGGAAACTACTCACAAGGTCGAAGAGTTTTTTGCAACCTTGTGAGTGGTTTCCTACGAGAAAGCTTGTTTTCTTGTTATTTTTATTCCACCTGCCGACCGTACTCATTTTGTTTATTGAATTCCAGTAAAATCAACCTATTACCTCCGTACATAATTTAGAAGGCTTCTAAAGTTAAATTTAAAAAGTCTAAAATTCATGTACCGCCGAATTCCACCTTCAATAATCTACCAAAAACCAAATAGACTGATTGGTAATAAAAGGAAATTTGATCTTATGACTGCAGAATACCTCACCTGAAGTCGACTTTTATGAACAGCAGAAAGTAAGGCTTCTTTATGTTCAAGATTGTTAAGAAGTATCATAGCAGCCATGTTCAGCTGAGCGAGATATCATCATCACAGTAAGGCTTTCAAATGAACCGTGGTGTTACGCCAGTGAACCGTCGGTGTCGAACTCTGATGTCATGCTGTCGATGATGATGATGATGATTGGCTGTAAGAACCGCATACTTGTCGTACAGTGGTTGTAGCTTGGCGAGTAAACGTGAAAGGAACCTCGAGGCATAGTTTTCAATTGTTGCAAAGAACCCCAGATTTAGATTAGAGTCTACGCACAGCATTTTGAAAAGAAAGAGCACTGGAAATAAGCAGTGGGATTTAAGTACCGCTAGGCAAATTTGCATCACTGCTGGGACGGTCGTGACATTCAATGGACAACGAAGAACTGAGCGATGATGATGTATCCTTGACATGAAAATTCATAAAGAAAAATGTCTATCATATCCTCACAACCAGAGGCTGATAAACATGAGGAAAACCGTTGCACGGGGAATTTTGCTTGGTGCTGCGAGTATATGTCTTTACCAAGGGTCAGAGAATGTTAATATTTGTCATATTGTTTTTCTTGGCTCAGTCAACAACAAAAAATTTTTCTCAGATGCAAAACGCATTCTGTTCAACGATCTTGTCTGCAACGATTGGAGCTTTGTTAACGCAAAACTGAGGCTTACTTCTTCCTTAACATCTCTTTAAAATGATCAATTTTTAAAGTTGCTTTTCAAGAAGGGGCAAAAGTAAGGCGTAAAATCTTCTCATCACTGGTTGGTCCGGGAATAAACTGGGGTTCTGGTCGTAAACAGAAAAAGGTCCATTTTTAGCGCAAAGACTAAATGTTCCGGCGTGAGAAGCGGAAAATTTTATTAGAAGAAAACAACAGCCATCAGGTACAGCTCACCGTTTGTGTAACCAAACTTTTGGAAAATCTACTCCCAATTTTTATCGTTTCTGCTTAGGACCTATCCTGTGTAAGATACCATTTTCACGCACTCAGCTCACTATATCATCCCTGACCGTGATATTGAACGTGGACTAACAACGGCTCCGGGTAAGCTTAGTATGGTAACCGATTGGTTCTTCCATGGTGACGTTCGTGCGGCCGTCATTTTGTATGGCTTCGAGTAATACAATACGTAGAACGCGACTGGCTTCAGTAGTGAGTTTACCTTCATTTCTTGGCCCCACTGTCCGATCCAAGTTTCATGTGCGTTAGATATGCGTTAGTTCCGCACAACTGTTTGTGCTCCCGTATTCGCTGATATTCTTGCTTTCCGTGATGGGGACTAGACGAGTAAAAAGGGAAGACTCCAAGTACTACACAAATCAGCTGAGTTTCCGAAACACAGAAGGCCTAAAAATGTTATCTGAGCGTCTGACATTAGGACCATCAAAAACTACGGGGCCGTTTTTAGTTTCTGCCTAAAAGATACCGAATCGTTTGAATGTTAATTTTCCAAACAGTCGTATGCTCTTCAAAAGGGGCTACAGTCAACCGAAGCTAAGATTTCTAAAGATCGTTTGAAAAGTTCTCGAGGTATAAGCAGAAAGCCTTCACTGAATTATGCATAGAAATATGCGTAAAAATGTTCAGACGGGTCATCTGGTACAGTGTAATAGATTAGTTTGTAATCCTGGACTTCAAATTTAAAACGCATGTTTTCAGTATTCGGGAGAAACAACTTTCTGAAACATTTTAGTGCAATACATGTGGGAATTTTTTGAACGTGCAATACCCGATAGTCTGATACAAGGGAAAACTGGTAAATAAAGATCTGACATCTACAACAAACACCCCTTGTGATTTCACCGACTGTTGGCACAGAATTTACGTTGGAATAAATATAGCTGGTCCATGAATGGGATCTTGTGAAACCCACTAAATGTGTGAAGCACTTAATATCACTAGGTAAACCATCGACAGTAAGTGGTTTTGGTCAAAACCCGAAAAAAAAATCAAACAGAAATTAAGGAACAGAGAAACAGAGAGGTGGCCAACACTTGACTTGGCAGAGAAATATGAAGGAGATCACGAAACGCATCGGTTTTGAACACTGATGTCAAGCTGTCGATGATGATGATGATGATTATTCATGGTTTTGCGTAGGCTGGCATGCTGTCAAGGCGCCCAGACCTATACAGGAAGATGATTAGGGTCCTCATCCAAGGCTTTTGACTCAAAGGCCTCACCGAAATTCAGCGGGTGGATGTCGACGTGCTACAAGGAACAAGTCATCGTGACTTTCCGAACACAACTGGAGGGCCAGGAGAGTGTTTATCAGACCTCTACTAATGACCAACCTGGTACGAGAAACTGTGTGACACACGTAACTCCCCATTATAACTCAAGGAGTTATAGAGTTTATAGAGGTGTGCATACCGTGATAAGGTTCAGTCTCACCATGATAAAGTAGGCCAATAAGGTTCATATTATAAAAATTCTAGACAAACAGTCGAGAGGTAAATGGCACTGAGTATTCTCCTTAGAATTACATCAGCAGTTGAAGTTAGTTTATCGTTTTGGATAGGATTGCATTGAAAATACATCCTGTCTCCGAGATTAGGTATTGATACAATCTTCTGTTGAGTATCTTCAGGTGACGCAACAGCTGTCTCTTGTTCCATTTAATCCAATGTAGCGGGGTGCGAACGGAGGAGTTCAGTGCATAGTGTCACCGCTTCTTGCTTCAATTTTTGGATTTTCATGTGCTTACTACTTTAACTGTCATGGATGGTAGAACATAAACGTTACATGAGCAGCTGAGAGACAATGGTTTGGTGTTATTTTTCATGGAGGAAACTACTCACAAGGTTGCTGAAACCTCTTCTTCGGGACTTAAATAGCTTTTTTCATTCAACCAGGTCAAAAGGGTGCTAAGTAAAGAAGATAGAAACATATGGTAAACAGATAGAAACATACTCGTAGATAATCAGCAAAATGTGTCGTCCTTTTTTTTAAATTGTCGCCATGATACTCACAAGAATTGCAAGGAAGAGATCCCGCCTGGTTTTCCCAGCCTAGGTGGGAACAGCCGGAAATCAGTGGTTGGATTCAGATCGTGGTGAACAGTTTTGCGCCTTAACCGAGAAGGTTCTCGAGTTAGTAACGCATCAGATGTAACTACCTTTTGATCGCACTGTTACTAGTTTTCGTTGTCGCATATTCTTGGTTCTGAACTTTCAAGTCGTGTGCCACTTTGGCTAAGAGGATTTCAGCACAAAGTAAATTCCGCAAACGAAGCTAGAATTTGTCTGCTTGCTATAAAATTGTCTCATACTCCAAACGGAATTGATACAAGTGTATTATTTAATCAACGACTGATTTGATGTTTAGGGTGCAACCAGCAGGAAACATTTCTCTGAATCTCTTGTTCTCTAGGCCGCTTCACTTCACGTGTGTAACGAATGATCACCAAACAGCTTTGAATATTATGCGGCTGACACAACAAACAGGCAGCTGTCATATCAAAGAGTGAATTACTATTTCTCAAGGTTATTGTCTGAGCACGTGAACCCTGGGTTTGATGTTTCTCATTGCGTCATCACTACAGTATCACGCAGAATTCATACAACAGACTGGATGTAACCAAATAGTTACAGTGTCATTTGCACCCTTCTCATTTGCACATCAGTTACATATTTTATTTCATCTTCTATGCATTACCGCATGTCAACATTTCGGATAGCTTAAGCTCACAATATGTGAATTTTATACATACTTTGCTATCGGACCCACATAATAATGGTGTAGTTATACGAGTAGTACAACCTGCCAGAAGCGAGCACACAAATGTACTTTAGTATGGTTACTGGTTCACCACAGGTTCCACTTAGTGAAAACCCGTAAAGTTAGCACTTTTAGCAGTGAATGAACTTTTACGTGAGTCTCAGTAACAACGCAGGGGTCCAAAGCAAACATAAGAGACTATCTGGCCCTATATTCGAGAGGAAAAATTAAGAGTCATATCTCTATTTTGTATTCGTTTTTTTCTTAGCATTTAACACCCTCTTTTCGGAATGAAATAGCCTTGTGCATAGTATGTACGCAAAATATATCCCGCTGAGCGGCAATATGAGTCGAGCTTAGGAACCCAGATATCGTGACTAGTCAGCCTTGTGAACTGAGTCGACGGAGCTTGAGTGCCCTTGACCTGTACGTACACCTTCAACGTCGCTTCTCTTAAGTATTACGCTCTTAGGTTGTCTGTTGTAATCACTTGTTCCCTGAGGTATCCGTAGCGATCCACTTACTGTCTATGACAGATACACATCTGATCCATCAGATCCTAATCGGCCTAGCCTACTTCCGCATTGATTCAAACACTTACACACAGTATGAAGTTAATTTTGGTGAAGTATTCATCTCAAGGTGTAAATCATGAATAAGTTAATGTCTTGAAGGAACATGCAGCCCACTTTCCTGTGTTTTCGAAGGAACACAGTGAATTTTTCGACCAATAATAGAACCAACCGAACGCAGTATTGACTCCAGATTCAAAATTAGCTAGACCCTTTCTTTACGCTACAACAAACACTGCTTGGCACAGGTTTCTTCTTCTCAATGCTACTACCTCGATGTCCCTGGGCTTATGGTATTCGCCCAACTAAACATGTTGGCTACCACTTTTAGTGAATCGTGTGTGAAATTTTAATGCTGGAGACGAGGTGCAGATAGGCGATAGTTAAGTCCAAAGAGATCTTCTGCTTGCCCTCTCCCTAGTTTGCCAATTTATGGCTAATTACTGCACACAGTGCGGTTTCCGTAAGGACATACTCCATAGTATGGCAGAAAAAGTGAACTTTGAAATGTGTAATTCTCTGGCAGAAGAATTTTGGATAAATATTTGTGGACGATGTTCAAGGCAGTTATGCAGGATAATGTTAGTTATTTTACTAACCAAAGTTACTGAATTTGAGGATGAATGAAGATTCAGATGAGTTTACTTTGGAAAACGAGGTGCAGTTACGTGTGACACAACTAGATTACAAAATATCAGCGAGATTAGTATTGGGGGCCACAGTCTAACGACGAATCAAAACATTTAGCATAGATTAACGCAATTTTCAAATCAAGAAACAAACTCCGTCTGGAAAAAACACCGTCGAAAAACTCCTCGAAGGTCTATCATTTATTTGTGAGCCTAAATATGTATTCACCAGACTGGATTCAGGTTACCCCCTGTTCTCCAGAACTTGATCCACCAGCAGGAGTCCGTTGGCTCCTTATCCATGATGGCCCAAGAATAAGACCAGTGGCACGTGATGGAGACGAGATCGTTCCGAGCTTTGGTTGAATAGTTTAACACATGTGTACAGAAACATAGTAGCTCTAACAATGTGTCATTATCCACATTTCTTGACGCACATGAACACTGCAAGAGGCCTGACTAGTTTAAAAGGTGTCTTTGAAAAATTGTCAAATTTAGTGACTTCAGAACAGTCCTGCTTACGTAAATCTCGTTCTGTTGGTACATGAATAGATCTTACGCTCGACTTTCGTCCCCAATAAAGCTAATCAGAATGTATATCCCTGGTTCAAATTGGACATGAAAACCAAACATCTGTTATACAATGCTAGTATGTTGCCACCTCTCCATCAGCGCACGTTGAACACCTATAAACCACTACTCGTCAACAGACGGATAGGACTAAGCTGAACAATTGTGTCTGGGTAGAAGGAGGACTGTTTAAACCAGCTTAGTGTTAGTGCGATACAATACCTGATACAAAACCTGATGAGCACTAAGAAGGGCGAAACCTTATCGTACCAACTGAAACATGAGGTGGCCTGTGTGCAGCACATTCAGTTGTAGAACACCATAAACGAGAGATTCAGTTGAGTCTCTCGTGAAAACCAAACTGATTTGCAAATGAGAGTATTTCTCGAAAACAGTGCAATTTGTGTTCAAGTAAAACATAAAGTTGATGGAGACCCGGGGACTGCGCCTACCTGATGAGCCCCAAGAAGGGCGAAACCGGCCGTGAGCTGTCGAAGAGTTTTTAGCAACCTTGCGAATAGTTTCCTTCATGAAAATACGATTACCCTTTCTC